TTCTCTCTCGTCAATGTTTCTATCTCTCTCTCCCTCTCCCTTACTCTCTCTCTAAAGTCAATAAAGAAAAGAGAAAAAAATCAGAAATAAGTATTGGTGAGGATGTGGAGAAACGGGAACCCTTGTGCACTGTTGGTGAGAATGTAAATTGGTGCAGCCAATTACTGTTCACTATGGGAAACAGTATGGAAGTCCTCAAAAAATTAAAAATAGACTTCCAGTCAAGATGGCGGTGTAGGTAAATGCGGTATCGTGTCCTCCCACAACCACATCAAAGTTACAACTAAACTACTGAACAACCATCATTCAAAACTGTCTTAAATAGCGCTGAATGGAAGTCCTACAACTACAGAATTAAAGAAGCAGCCATGCCCTGGCCGGTTTGGCTCAGTGGTTGGAGCGTCGGCCCGCGGTCCAGAGAGACCTGGGTTCGGTTCCCGCTAAGGGCATGTACCTCGGTTGCAGTTTGTCCCCGGCCCTGGTTGGTTGTGCGGGTGGCAGCCACTCGATGTGTCCCTTTCACATCGATGTTTCTCTCTCTCTCTCTCTCTTCCTCTCTCTTTCTCCCACTCTATCTGAACAAAAAATGGAAAAATGTAGTCGGGTGAGGATAAAAAAAAAAAAAGAGAGAGAGAGAAGCAGCCACATCAAGACTGGTAGGAGGGGTGGAGGCGGACGGGCTGGTTCCACACCCATGTGTGGCGGATAAAAACAGGAGATTCCTCAGCTGGGAAGGTCCTGCCTGAGGACCGAGGGGGCCCCCCTCCCACACCAGGCGCCCCGCTCAGGGTTCCAGTGCCAGGAAGAGAAGTCCCCATAACTTCTGGCTGGAAAAACCAGCAGGAACTGAGGCTCAGGGAGGCTGAAGTGGCTGGAGCCTCAGGCAGGTCCTCTTAAAGGGCCCGTGCACGTATTTATCAGACGCACTCCCTCTAAGCTTGGACGGGATGCAGTTCGAATGGCGCCAGAGACATACAGGGAAGAACTGAGCTGTTTGGCACTGGAGTGAAGGCTGGAGAGGCGGCTTTCTCCAGAACAGACGTGTTGTCAGAGGCCTTTGTTCTTTAGTGAACCTTTCCCTGGGGTGGCAGACAGCCGCCATATCTGCTACTTCAGCAACCTGGCTCACACTGGTTGCCCCGCCCTGGTGATTCCCTGAGGCCCCGCCCCACCCAACTTTCAGGCCCACCCAAGCTGTTGCCAGTTGCTTAACCATAGAATTGGCCTGTCTTGGATCCTGCTTCAGGTTTTCCTAAATTCTTTCAAACAAGTAGCATCTGGTCTCAGATAGCCCCATACCTCTCGTTAAATAATACACTGAAACAAACACAGAGAGGCAGGCAAAATGAGGAGACAAAGAAACAGGTCAAAACCAAATGAAAGAACAGAACAAAAACCCAGGAAAAGAACTAAGCAAAATGGAGATAAGCAACCTAACAGATACTGAGTTCAAAATACTGCTTATAAGGATGCTCAGTGAACTTAGTGAGAACCTCAGTGAACTTAGTGAGGGCCTCAAGAGCATAAATGAGGACCAGTCAGAAATGAAGGAGGCACTAACTGAAATAAAGAATAATTTATACAGATTCAATAGTAGAGTAGGTAAAGCTAAGAAACAAACCATCAATTTGGAATCTAAGGAAGCAAAAGACACTCAATCAGAACAGCAAAAAGAAAAAAGAATAAAAAAAAAAATGAGAGTGTAAGGAGCCTCTGGGACAACTTCAAGCGTGCCAGCATTTGCATCTTGGGGTTGCCAGAAGGAGAAGAGAGAGAACAAGAAATCGAAAACCTATTTGAAACAATAATGGCAGAAAACTTCCCTAACTTGGTGAAGGAAACAGACATACAAATCCAGGAAGCACAGGGAGTCCCAAACAAGATGAACACCAAGAGGCCCACACTAAGACACATCATCATCAAAATGCAAAAGGTTCAAGACAAAGAGAGAATCTTAAAAACAGCAAGACAAAAACAGCAACTACCTACAAGGGAGTTCCCATAAGACTGTCAGCTGATTTTTCAAAAGAAACTTTGCAGGCCAGAAGGGAATGGCAAGAAATATTCAGAGTGATGAAAAGCAAGAACCTACAACCAAGATTACTCTATCCTGCAAAGTTGTCATTTAGAATCAATGGCCATATAAAGAGTTTCCCAGATAAGAAAAAGTTAAAGGAGTTCATCACCACCAAACTGTTATTATATGAAATGTTGAAGGGTCTTTTTGAAGAAAAAGATAAAATATATGAACAAACAAAATGGCAATGAATACATATCTATCGACAATTGAATCTACAAACAAAATGAACAGGCAGAACAGAAACATTCTCATAGATACAGAGAACATTTTGTTGGTTGCCAGATGGGAGTGGGGTTGGGGGAATAGGTGAAAAGGGTGAAGAGATTAAGAAGTATAGATTGGTTGCTAGACTGACAAACCTCAAAGAGAAGGGGGTTAGGGAGGTAGGAAGAAATAAACCAAAAAACTTATATGTAACCAATGGACACAGACAACAGTGTGGGAAAAGGCAGGAGGGGGGCGGGAGTGGGGAGGAGGGGGTCAATGGAGGAAAAATGAGGAACATCTGTAAAACATTTAACAATAAAGATAAAAAATAAAAAAAATAAAGCAGTAGGTCTGGATACTCATTTAAAAAATTAAAAATAGAACTATCCAATGATTCAGCAATTCTACTTCTGGGTGTTTACTCAAAGAAAACAAAAACACTTAACTTGAAACAATATATGCACCCCTACTTTCACTGCAGCACTATATAGAAACAACCTAAGTGTCCACTGATGGATGAATGGGTAAGGAGGATGTGATATATATGTACAGTGGAATATCATTCAGCCATAAAAGTTTGTGACAATATGAATGGACCTCAGGGGCATTATGCTAAATTAAATAAGTCAGACACAGAAAGACAAAGACTGTATGATATTTCTTATATGTGGAACCAAACAAATATACAGAAAAACCAAGTTTATAGATACAGAAAATAGATTGATAGTTGTCAGAGGTGGGGGTTGGGAGTGGGGGTGGAAATGAGTGACTGAGACTTGGAAGAAATTCCACACAATATAGCAGCACTGTTGAGAATACTGCATCATCAGCATCCTTGACAACAGAGAATGATATTATATGGAAAAACAGCAGTATCAGCAACTGAGTGGAAAACTGAATGTGGAGAAATAATTAGTAATGCCTTAACCAGTTATTTTGTTTATATATTTTTTAATGTATGCACAAGAGGAATATGATACAAATATTGTTAAAAGTTTAAAAGTTTTTAATAATTACAAAATAGAAATTCTAAATGATAAGCATTGTGTGATAGTTTGACAGCGTTTTTTCTTTCTTGTGCGTCTTATAATTGAAGGTATCTTAAATTCAGTAAAATATATGCATCTAGTAGAAATGCCAGAGGAAGAGAATACAGCAAGGGAAAGGCAATATTTGAAGCCATAATAGTTGAGAATATCCTGGACTTAATGAAATATATGAATCTCCTGATTCAGGAACACAAAATTCCCTGGACATAATAAAGTCAAATCCACCCTTGATACATAGTAGAAAAATTAAATAATTCTGCAGACCAAGATACTATATCAAATGCAACTAAGGGAAAATAACAAAGCCGGAGTGAAGAATATATATAATGAGGAAATGATAAATACATAAAATGCTCTTTTTAATCAGTAAGAAAAAGAGTTTAACAGAAAAAATGTAAACATGCAACGGTCAAGAAATATATGAAAAATGTCCAACCTGTAAAACTTTTTAAATATGCAAATTGAAATATTCACACAAACGAGCCCTGACTTAAAATCGAGATTGCTAATATCTGTAGTTAGAAAAATCAGGGGAAATGGGCATGCTCATAGTTTTGGCTGGAATGTAAATCGCAATCTTTTATAGTAACATTAATCAGATATTTAATGTATATGCTCTTCCACCCAGCAATGCTAGTTTAAGGAGTTGATTTCACAAAAATCACCTAAGAGCCCAAAGGTGTTTGTAATGACAAGAAATTAGTAAATTAGGTTACAAACCTAACCGTTATGCCTCCTTTTATTGCGCTTCACGTGACTGAGTTCCGCAGGTGTCGCTTTTTTAAAAACTGAAGGCAAGACTCTGCCAGCAAAAAAGGATCCCTCTTTACTGCCTTATTGGCTTTATTGCATGGTATCGAAGGAACCGCAATATCTTCGAGGTATGTCTGTGTTTTAAGCCACCTTTTTAAAAGGTACTCATATAGAACACGTGTACGTGGAGTTAAAATTAAATACTGTACCTGAAGTACACAGCAGAAGTGTTAACAGAATGAACCCATTTGTTTTTTTAAAACGGGTATTTGCATAGAAAAAGTTTAGAAAGCTGTATACAGAAACAATTGAGTGATACGAGCTTGGTGTGTGTGTGTGTATGTGTGTATGTGTGTATGTGTGTGTGTGGTGTGTGTGTGTTAGGCGGCTTTCCCTCCCGATAGGCTCAATTTGTGTTTCACTTTCACGGGCAACTTTCTATCCCCAAGCGGGAGGTGGAGGAGGCACCACAAAACTGGAGGTCGTTGACCCCAGGCCCAAGCCTCACTATGCCCGGACGTGTCCAGCGTTCAGATTCCAGAACGTGACAAAAAGGCGGGCAGTCCTACCAGATGACGTCCCACCCGCCCCCGAAGGCTTAGCGTTTCTATTCCGCTCCTGTCCCCTCATCCTCCAATGGATGTTTAGGGGGGACGGGTTTAGCGCGGACCAGGCACATGATTGGCCCTGGAATCTCTCCGCCCAGACCCAGGCGTGGTAACGTGGTGACGTCTTGCCGCGGAACGCAGAGGCGGAGAGCGCACGCTCGCAGACGCGGCGGTATTAAAACGGTTGCAGGCGGAGCGTTTTGGTGGTGTTCGTTGATCTCAGGCTCTTAACGCTGTTGTTCTGCTCGCTCTTATCCTGTGAAGCCTAGGCCGGCTACACCTCTTCCTTCCCTTCGTTTCTAGCCGCGTCACTGCTACTCCGCCACCATGTTCGAGGCGCGCCTGGTCCAGGGCTCCATCCTGAAAAAGGTGCTGGAGGCGCTGAAGGACCTCATCAATGAGGCCTGCTGGGACATCAGCTCGAGCGGCGTGAACCTACAGAGCATGGACTCGTCCCACGTCTCTTTGGTGCAGCTCACCCTGCGGTCCGAGGGCTTCGACACGTACCGCTGCGACCGCAACCTGGCCATGGGCGTGAACCTCACCAGGTGAGCCAGGGTGGGGAGCCCGGCCTTCATCACCTAAATCCCATTCCTGGCTCTTGGCGGGAGCTCCTCCGTGCCGGGCCCTCATTGGCTAGGAAGAGCCATCTCGCTTTCTCATTGGCCTGTTATGCAGGGGGGCGGGATCCAGCGGAGCGCGCGGTTCCGAAAGCCCGCGCTGTCCGCGGCGCGAACCCGCTCTTTCCGCGCCATAGTTACAAAGCGGGTAGTGGCGGGAAAATGATGGGCTTCGCGGGGCTGCTAGGAAAACACTATTCCAGAGCTTTTTTAGTCATTAGGTGCCGGCAGCCTTGAATGAGAAACCATGGTCATGGATGACTTTAACCGCTTTATAATGTTCCCTACTCCTGTCTTCCTAGGAACAATAGGTTATTTCCGGTCTTTTATTATTAGAGTTACAGTGAGCACCCCCTTGAACTTGAGGGAAAATTTCTCCAGGGCAGTGGTATCTTATGAGAAATATTTACCCAAACCAGTGCAATGTCTTTTAATAGAAATATTCTTGTTACAGATGGTTCTCCTTTCCCCCCCCATTGACATCCTCCTGATTCCACCCCCCCCCCCCCAGCATTGTTGTCTGTGCCCATTGGTGATGCATACATGCATATAGGTTTCTCTGCCCACCTCTGAGGTCTCAGTCTGAACCCTACTTCTTTCTATGTCTCTGGGTCTGTTTTGTTCATCCGCTTATTCTGTTCGTTATATTCCACAAAAAAGTGATATCATGTCATACTTGTCTTTCTGTTTGGCTTATTTCACTTAGGATAATACTCTCCAGGTCCCTCCATGTCATCTCAAAGGATAAGAGATCTTTCTTTCTTACAGCTGCATAGTACTCCATCGTGTATATGTACCACAGCTTTCTTATCCATTCGTCTACTGATGGACACTTGGGCTGTTTCCAGATCTTAGTTATTGTAAATAGTGCTGCTATGAACATGGGGGTACATATATTCTTTCTGATTGTGTTTCAGGCTTCTTAGGGTATATTCCTAGAAGTGGGATCACTGTGTCAAATGGCAGTTACATTTTTAATTTTTTTGAGGAAATACTTAACTGCCAGATTGCATTCCAAAAGGGCTGGACAGGTTTACACATTCTCCTGTAGTACATTTTTCCAATTCGCCAATTCATCGGACAGCCTAATAGCTAAAAATGGTAACTTCTTGTTTTAATTGCTTAGAAATCGAACGATCTTGAGAAGATGGTGTCAGTTTTAAAGCCTGTGTCTTATCTGTTCTAGCATGTCCAAAATATTAAAATGTGCTGGCAACGAAGACATCATTACCCTAAGGGCTGAAGATAATGCGGACACCTTGGCACTAGTATTTGAAGCTCCAAGTAGGTTCTAATCTTTTACTGAGTTATGCTGAAGAAAATTAAAATGCAGCATCAATATTTTTCAAAGCTGTGAGAAATTTAAAATATTTGTGATGCTTGTAAAACTTACTTCATAGTTACAAGCTTCCATGCTTTTTTTCAACAATGTTTGCTTTCCTTTTGTAGATCAGGAAAAGGTTTCGGACTATGAAATGAAGTTAATGGATTTAGATGTTGAACAGCTTGGAATTCCAGTGAGTATCAGTTTCTGGCTGAGTATATTGTACGTGATAGTTACCTAAGATATGTTAGTATAATTTAAAGCCTACTTCCTTTTTTTTTTTTTTTTAATCCTCACCTGAGGACATTTTTCCATTTTTTATTCAGATAGAGTGGGAGGGAGGGAGAGGAAGAGAGAGAGAGAGAGAGAGAGAGAGAGAGAGAGAGAGAGAGACATCGATGTGAAAGGGACAAATCGAGTGGCTGCCACCTGCATGACCAACCAGGGCTGGGAACAAACTGCAACCAAGGTACGTGCCCTTAGTGGGTACTGAACCCGGGTCTCTCTGGACTGCAGGCTGACACTAAACGCTGAGCCTAACCGGCCAGGGCTAAAGCCTACAGAACTATATAGCTGCTGGTACATGTTCCAAAATGGGGTTTTAGTGTTTAGAGTGACACATCTTTTATTATTAAATTATAGTACTCTAAATAAAAAGTGGATCATTGATTGCCTTTATTGTTGCCAAATGTATATTTACATTTCCACTAACCTGTATGCATCTTTTTCTTATTCCTAGGATGCTTTTTTTAGTTTTTAATTAAGAGTAGGTTTTAGAGCTGTGGGGCAGAAATTTATTAGATTAAGTGTATCAACATTAAAGGAAAGAAGTAGCATTGGAATGTTTAAAACTCTTGTTTTGGAAAGTAGGTAGGCCTGCTTGCACCATCATTGTTCCTATGCCATACTCTCATGTCCTGATTTAACCCTGGAGGGTGATTTGGAGGTGCTCTAATTTGTTTTCTTAGTGTGATTATTCTTATAATGTACTAGTTTTGGATCTGCATTTATTTTTTTCAAGGTTGGAGTGTGTTAAGACACAATAAGTAACATTTCAAAGTAACAAATGCTGAGTTTTTGTTTAGATGCTGTTTTGTTTCTTCATGAAGTGGAGGTACCTACAAAATCTTTAACTTCCAGAAATTGATCTTTGGTGTTTTTGTTTGTTTGTTTTATAGGAACAAGAGTATAGCTGTGTAGTAAAGATGCCTTCTGGTGAATTTGCACGCATATGCCGAGATCTCAGTCATATTGGAGATGCTGTTGTAATTTCCTGTGCAAAAGACGGAGTGAAATTTTCTGCAAGTGGGGAACTTGGAAATGGAAATATTAAGTTGTCACAAACAAGTAATGTTGATAAAGAAGAGGAAGCTGTAAGTAGTTTTAAAGTAAACAGAAAAAAATACTTTGAAGAGAATTGTAACACTGCTTAATATTAGGTTACTGTATGTCAATTTGGGCTGCTATAACAAAATGCCATAAACTGGTGGCTTTATTTCTCACAGTTCTGGTGGCTGGTAAACTGGCAGATTTGGTGTCTGGTGGGGACCTGCCTCTTGATTCATAGACAGCATCGTTCTCACCTGGTGGAAGGGCAAGGGAGCTCTTTGGGGTCTCTATTTTTATAAGGGCATAATCCTATTCATGAAGGCCCCACCTCCGAACACTTTATTTTTTTATTTTTATTTTTTTTCTTTATTGACTTAGAGAGGAAGAGAGAGAGAGAGAGAGACATCGATGAGAGAGAACATTGATCAGCCGCCTCCCACAAACCCCCCTGGGGACCTAACCCACAACCTGGTCATGTGCCCCACTGGGAATCAAACCAGCGACCTCTTGGTGCATGGGTCAACACTCAACCACTGAGCCACACCGGCCAGGCTGAATACTTTATAAGTCACAGGATAATGTGTTTATGTTTCAAACCCACACATACTCGAAGAACAGGATTGGGAAGCTAGGTGTCTAACCTTTAGCTTTCTGGAGGTTAGGGGTAAAAATCTAGCTGTTATGAGCTTTTGTATAAGCCACATTTAACCAAAAAATGACACTCTAATTCCTAAATATCCTTAAATTAAAGTTGTCCTGTAATCAACTTTTTGTTGTTGTTTTTAAGATCCTTAGTGTATTTATAAACTAATATTTGGTAATTGTACTAAAATAAAATTTTACTTGGCTATAAATCAAGAACAATGAAAGGGCCTAACCTCACCAGATTATTAGGATTAAATATGGTAACATTCAAAGTGCTTAACATAGTATCTGGCATGTTGTAAATTTATAGTATATATTTGATACTATTTTCTTGTCTTTTGATTGAGTTGTCAACCCAAGGTAAATTCTTTTTAAATAAAGTCTTATTTATTTATTTATTTTTAATATTGAATGCCCAACAATAAAGCTGACAATACATAAGAAAATAAAGGGTTTGTTTTTACTAATTTTTTTCACTTTTTTTTTTCCCCTAAATGTATTTATTGATTTTGAGAAAGAGAAAAGAAGATAGGGGGAGAGAGAGAAACATCAATTTGTTCTACTTATGCATTCCTTGGTTGATTCTTATATGTGCCCTGACCGAACCTGAAACCTTGGTATATTGTATCAGAACAATGCTCTAACCAACTGAGCTACCCAGCCTGGGCTCATATTTATTATTTATTTATTTATTTATTTTTGTGCTTTTATTGATTTTAGAGAGAAAGGAAGGGGGAGAGAGAGACATCAATCATCTGCTTCCTATAAGTATCCCGACTCAGGATCAAACCCAGAACTTGGGCATGTGCCCAGCAATGGTGCATGGGACAACACTGGACCAGGGCTCACTTTTATTCTTAAGTCTCCTATGTAAAACACTCCCACACTAAATGAACATACTATGTACACAACCCAGATAGGCTCATAACCGTAATTCCAATTTACAGCATGGTAATGTACCTTTATATACTCTCTCTCTGCAACATGCATTTACTAATGTCTCTTATGGATTCTTTAATATCAGCAGGAAAATTCTTTAAATGTTTCAATGCGCAGATCTCTCTGCAACTGTTTTTGTGCATTAAGCAGGGAATCCTTTGTTGAGTTATAGCTGTTCAAATTGTTCAAACTTCGCCCTGGCCGGTTTGGCTCAGCAGTTGGAGCGTCAGCCTGTGGTTTAGAGACCTGGGTTCGGTTTCCGCTTAGGGCGCGTACCTCGGTTGAAGTTTGTCCCTGGCCCTGACTGGGTTGTGCTGGTGGCAACCACTCAGTGTGTGTCTCTCACATCAATGTTTCTCTCTCTCCCTCCCATTCTATCTGTTTGTGGTGGTTGTTGTTTTTCATCCTCACCCGAGGACATTTTTTCATTTTTTGATCAGATAGAGTGGGAGGGAGAGAGGAAGAGAGAGAGAAACATCTATGTGAAAGGGACACATTAGGTGATTGCCACCCGCACAACCCAACCAGGGCCGGGGACAAACTGCAACCGACATACATGCCCTTGGTGGGAACCGAACCCAGGTCTCTATGAACCACAGGCTGACGCTCTGACTGCTGAGCCAAACTGGCCAGGGCCTTCCCACTCTATCTGAACAAAAAATGGAAAAATGTCCTCAGGTGAGGATAAAAAATAATAAATAAGACAAATTGTTCAGACTTCAAGGGGATCTTTCACATCGCTATTTCTCTGACATCAGTCTAAAGACTTTTAAAAAATGATATTAATAACAAAAGCCTAGGGCCTAATCCCAACTTTTATCTATCTCCTAAATTACATTTCACTCTCCTTCCAACTTTGATTTTTAAATATCTCTAGCATTAGTTCATCCATACATATTTTAATATCACTTGCAGTATTTATATTAAACTTTACTACATACTATAAGAAAATTATTCAATATTAAGGAAATTTTTACTGTTTTTATTATTTGGTCATGCCAGAACTATTTGGATCAAATTTTAAGAAGGTCCACACATTGCATTGCAGTTGGTTGATAACAACCCTTAAATTTCTTTGAGTCTGTTGGTTCTCTCTCTCTCTCTCTCTCTCTCTCTCTCTCTCTTCAATTTGTTTTTGCGCCTCCATTACAATTTCACATGTTGAAGAAACTAGGTCATTTGTCATTGAGATTCCTAAAGTCTGAATTTTGCCAGTTGCATCCCTTATGTCAATTAATATGTTCCTCTACCCTGTATTTCCTATAAACTAGGGGCTACAGCTCTTGAGGCTTGCTGATATTCAGGGTATTCTCTGTTTTTGTGTTGGGAGAGCAAGAATACTTAATAGATGGTGGTGTGTACCTCTAGTAGGAGTCAGGTATCTGAATACCTTTTTGTGATTTTAGCACCCATAATAGTCATTGTCTAGATTCATTAAGTCTTTACATTTTGCAGAGTTGTAATATGTTAATATATTTCATCATTTATTAGTTGATTTATTTTTTAGAGATATTTCCATAAAGAGGAGCTCTTATCACCCAATTTGGATACCTGAGATTTGGTTCATATATGGAAAGGCGGGCTAAATACCTGCTTCTTTTGTTTTATGAACCTATTTTCAAAATTAGTTTCATAGTACCCTCCAAAGCAATCAATAAAGATTTTCTAAATGTATATTATAAACTAATGAATTGTAACTTTTTTGGTTTTTTTTTTTTTTCCAGTATGATGAATCTTGTTTTTTCCCTTAGGTTTCCATAGAGATGAATGAGCCAGTTCAGCTAACTTTTGCACTGAGATATCTGAACTTCTTTACAAAAGCTACTCCACTCTCTCCTACAGTAACACTCAGTATGTCTGCAGATGTACCCCTTGGTAAGATAATACATTTGTTGAATCTTGTTTTGTAGGCAGTGTATGTGGTATGTCTCAGCAATTAACTATGTTTCTGCCTTCTTTCAGTTGTAGAGTATAAAATTGCTGATATGGGACATCTAAAGTACTATCTGGCTCCCAAGATTGAGGATGAAGAAGGATCTTAGATGTTTTTAAAATCCAAGAAAATAAAACTGAGCTCTTTGAGAACTGCTTCTGAGATTCCAGCGTGCCCTTAAACGTCTCTTCTGTCAGCAAATTTGTACCTGAGTACATATGTAGATAATGTTTTCTGTAAATAACCTTTTTTTTCCATTCTCTACAAGTGAAAGGATAATCTCAAGTCAAATCTGGTCTTATTAACCTAGAACTACTTCTGCCTTATTTAGAACTACTCTTTAGGATTTTTATAACAAAGGGTTTTGACTATTAATTGTGTTTTCAATATAAATAAAAGTTATTTGAATTTCAAACATCACAGGACAGCACCTTCATTTGAACCTTTACTGTTGCAAGTATCCTAGGGAATTCACAGTTAATGCTACCTTTTTGTGTAAATGTGTTTTGTTTTTTCCAATCTAGAGCAGCCAGATAGAAATACATTAGATATAGCCACAAAAAGTACTCCAAATGCAGTAGGTGACAAGATATTTTGGAGAATTCATTTGCCAGACCTATTTTTGTATTCTAACTTGAGCTGAAGAAATGATAGGGGGAATAGAACAAATTCTATATATTTCATTATTTTGTCTTTTTTTTTTTTAGCGAAAACTAACTTTCAGAAGCTTGATGTACTCAAATTTGTGTGGGCTTATAAGACTGTCATTGTTACAGGGCAGTTTCTTTAGGGAACATTTTACAGTAATCTTTTTTTAAGTGTTACTAGATCTGTGATAGGGCCCAAGGAGTATGTTTGTACCAAAAAAATAAAATAAAATTCTCCAGTATAAATAGCCTTATTTGGGACTTACTCCCTTAAAGGATGAAGATGGCTTAAATTTCATAGGTGGTGTATTCAACAAAGAAAGTGAAAAAGGCTCAGCAGTTGTGAAACAGGCTGTTGAAAGGTTCCCAGTAATTGTGCTACACAGATTGGCATTCTACATACTGAAAATTGTTTTATTACAGTCCCTTTTCCCATTGTATTTTGTTTTTGGTGGATTAAATGACTGGTATCTTTGTTGTACCTGGACTGAGTTCTGGTTATTGGACTTTGGAACTCACTGCATCCAATGGGTAACCATTTCCTTATGTGTGCCTGGGAGGAACGAGATGGGGCAGCAAAGGGGCCTGGTGGAACTTTTTGGAGAGAAAATATTTTATCTAGACTGGTGATGATTCCAAGACTGCATTTGTTAAGCCTCATTCAATTGTACTTTATTGTATTTAAGTTATGCCTTAATAAAGTTGTCATTTAAAAAAGCTTCACGCGTGGCAAAATGTCCCTTGTGGGCGGACTTCTACCTGGGCAAGTTCTGACGACCAAAGACCGGGAAACTGCATTAAGGGTGTGGGGCCACTGAAGAGCATAGTTGTGGGGTAATGACTAGCAAAGACCTTGGCTCAGCCCCGGGGGAGGCTGGCTGCCCTGGGCAATTGCCCTGGCAGCTCAAGTTCTAGGGGAGTACCGACCAGCTGGGCTTCCCTTTCCGGGGGGGGGGGGGGGGGGTGCTGCCACTGAGCTCCCTTACACTGCCTGAGGGGTCAAGAAAACTGCAGGCGGCTTGTACAGGGCCTGACTGGCCCAGGGGGGCGGGCACCCTGGAGGCCCACCAGCCTTTGTAGAGACGGCTGGCAGCTGGGCTAGGCCAGGGTGCTTCCCGAGAACCCCGATCTCCCGCAGGCTACTGGCCTAACGCAGGGCTGAAAAGACGCTTCCGGAAAGGCACTGAGAGGGGGTCGCTCTGGGTGACGCCATTTCCGTTACGCCATTTCCGGTGTTGAGCTGGTCTGGGCGAGATGGAGTGGGTGACAGTTAAGTGAGGTGTGTCTTGAGCATCTTTCTAACTGAGCGAGCTGTCGCGCGCGGGCGACTTGGCGCGGCGCTCCGGTAAGTGGTGCGTACGGCGGGGCGGGCGGAGAAGGGGCCCCGCGCTCCCCGCGCGGCGGAGACTGCGCTCCCTCCGAAGTCAAGCGCCGAGTCCTCCCGTGTGGAGCGTTCGTCCTCCTCGGTACGGTTGGCCTCTTTCCAGAAACTAGTTTTGTTTTTTTTCGGTCTAAATTCCTGTGGGTTCTTATTCGTCTCCTTGGCAATGTCTGGAGACAGGCAGGCAATTATTGTGTGTGCAGACGCATCGTGACAGGCACTGTGTTGATTGCTTTTAAAAGTCTTGCAACATTAGGGTGCTGATGGAATGGGGGTTGCGGTGGAACTAGTAAAAAGAAAAAAAGTCTGTTGGGGACTTTGAAAACATCGATTTCCGTATTTCCTTTCCCCTCTTAGAATTCTTATTCCTTGCCACAATAAGCCTTCCTCTCCCCTCTCCATCACGGCCTGCACTTATTTGTTTTGAAGCGGGTGTATGAAGAGTTGATGGCAGAGTACTATACACTAAAAAAAAACAAAACAAAAAGGACTAATACAAATCAGAGGTGACTACATGCTCTCATAAACCCCCACATATTTAGATTACCACGTATTCGAATCGTAATATTTAAAAACCTACTATTTGACACAGCTTAATCTAATTTGTTAAGAAAACAAAAGTAGTAGGCCAAATGGAGTCACTTTTGCTAAACCATGTCACCAAACCAAAACTTAACTAAGCTGATTGCAGTGTCAGCCTCTTCTTTCTGCTTGTAAAAAACCTTTCGTTTCGGCCCAGCTGCTGTGGCTCAGTGGATTGAGTGTAGTCCCAAGCCCCAAGAGGTCACCGGTTCGGTGACCCCAAGAGGTCAGGGCACATGCCCAGGCTGTGGGCTTGATCCCCAGTAGGGGGCATGCAGGAGGCAGCTGATCTCTGGGTTTGTATCTCTCCCTCTCCCTCTCTCTCAAAAAAACAATAAAAACATATGTTTAAAACCCTCCATTTTGTACAACTCATCAGCACTCCCTTTTAATTGCTAGATAAGATGTGCTTGTTTCATCTCTGGAGTAATAAAGCCAATTAGATCTTCAAAGTAGTTGAATTTTGTTCTTGAACACCTTTTAGGACAGCATATAAATTAGCATACTCTTTTTTTAATACTTGATATTTGTACCAGTATGTAATTACTAAAAAGGGACATGAGCATTTAGCACCAATTCCTTTATAAACTAGTTATTTTAGGTTGAATAGAGGCCATTTAAAATCTCATTAATATCTGGGATTAAGTACCTATAGAGCAGCTGGCACCTAACCAGTAATTTATTATTTTGTTTGTTTGTTTTTATTTATTTTTCTTCTGTAACCAGTAATTATTAACTGCCATTATAATGATGATTATTAGTAAAGTGTTATACCAGAGGAAGTTAGGCTTTGTTTTTTGTCTTTTATATTGCCCTTATTGAAATATTTAATTTTCTTTTAAAAGATATGTTTCACTTTTAAGAATCAAATAGCTTCACTATCATAATAGATTTACTTTTTTTATTTATATAACAGTGGTTTTATGGAGGAAAAGTGCACAAATGTTTTTTGATTCAAATGTCTTTTTTCTTTTTTAATTTTATAAGAGTTTATTTGAGCCAAAACTGACTACATATGCTGGGAAGCAAAATCTCAAATGCTCCTAAATGCCTTTTTATTTCTCTTTATTGATTTCAGAGAGAGGAACGTAGAGGGAGAGAGAGAGAGAGAGAAATAGAAACATAGATGAGAGCCCTGGCCGGTTTGGCTCAGCAGTTATAGCATGGGCCTGCGGTCCAGAGAGACCTGGGTTCGGTTCCCGCTGAGGGCACGTACCTCGGTTGCAGTCTGTCCCCGGCCCTGGTTGGGTCGTGCTGGTGGCAGCCACTCGATGTGTCCCTTTCACATCGATGTTTCTCTCCTTCCCACTCTATCTGAACAAAATATGGAAAAGTATCCTTGGGTGAGGATTAAAAAAGAAAAAGAAACATAGATGGGAGAGAAACATCCATCGGCTGCCTCCTTCGTGCTCCCTACTGGGGATTGAGCCTACTACCCAGGGCATGTGCCCTGACTAGGAATCGAACCAGTGACCTCCTAGTGCATGGGGTGACGCTCAGCCAACTGAGCCACACCAAGAAGACATGTCATTGCTTTTAAATCTTAATCTACAATCTCTTAAACAAGTGACAAAATAGCCATGATTTTTAAAAATGTAGTTATAGAAGTAATTGAAAAATGAAATCACTACTTTCACTGTTTTGGTTGGACAGAGAGGCAGGGAAATCAGAAGGCACTGGAACAGTAGCTTATCCAAATTTACAAGAAGCTTTGCAAATCCTTTGTGTTAGCAAGATGATACCATCAGGAAAATAGGCAAAATGGTGATTGAGTGTATTCTATTCCCTACCCTCTCTCTACTTCCTCCTTGGCATATAAGAGAATCATTTGAGTAGATGCTCTTCTTGCTTTTTTCTGAAGCAAGGATAAGAGGCAAACAATACTATAGCAGAATGGTTGAAAAGTTGGACTTTGGTGCCAGATAGACTTGGTTTAAGTCACTACTCTTCCACCCTGTGTGACTTTTGAAAAATTAGGAGGCAGGGCAATGTTGTTGGCAAAATAAACAGGAGTTCAGGTTCTTGGCCAGTGTCTCAACTCTCATTCTACCAGGAAAAACCAGAGTGGATATATAATGAGAATATTTTCACTTTGTCTAAAGAATATCAGGTTCTAAAAGAAAAATGGAGCCTAAATTGCCAGTTGCTAGTATCATGGCTGAGAACTCCAATACACTCTATTGAACAAAATATGGAAATATTCAGAGGCCTGAATCCAAGGGCTATAAAACACCATTGTTGCTTGTGGACAATAACAGTTTTATTTGTTTTCATGTTATAGCTGTGTCAGTGTGTTATGATGCCATCTCGTACCAATCTGGCTACTGGAATCCCCAGTAGTAAAGTGAAATACTCAAGACTCTCCAGCACAGATGATGGCTACATTGACCTTCAGGTAAGTGCAGAAGAGAGCTGATGAGACTGGCTGGCTCTGTTTCTGATGATCAGGCAGGAAGACCTTCCAAGTGGAGGTTTTGCTAACTGTCCCTGGGGATTAGAGGAAACAGCAAGAAAGAAAGCCAGCCCCTTTCCACGATAACCTGCAGAAGGTGGGACCTTGGCGGAGCTGTTTCAAACCAATATAAATACAGTTTCTAAGAATTTTTAATTGTAATGCAGGAGTCCAGTAATTGCACTTTTTTTTTTTAGCTTATCTGAAAAATAATCAGACTGTTTTGTTAAGTAGAAAAAAATTTTTTTCACAACAAATAATGTATGTAAAGTGCCTGGAACATAGTAGGCTTTTAATCCGGTACATGGTTGTCAAATTGAACCTGGTTAGCAATTAGAACTTTTATTTATTTTATTTAAAAAAAATTTTTTTTCTTTATTGATTTTAGAGAGGAAAGGAGAGGGAGAGAGAGATAGAAACATTGATGAGAGAAGATCACCTGGCCACCTCCTGCATACCCCCCACTGAGGATTGGGCCCACAACCTGGGCATGTGCCCTGACTAGGAATCAAACCGGCAACCTCTTGGTGCATGGGTTAATGCTCAACTACTGAGCCACACCGGCCAGGCTTAAGGAGAATTTTTTTTTTTTTAATCCTTACCCAAGGACACTTTTCAATATTTTGTTCAGATAGAGTGGGAGGGGGAGAGAGAGAGACACACATCAACGTGAAAGGGACACATCGAGTGGTTGCCACCCACACGACCCAACCAGGACCGGGGACAAACTGCAACCGAGGTACATGCCCTTAGCAGAAACCGAACCCAGGTCTCTCCAGACTGCAGGCCGACGCTCTAACCGCTGAGCCAAACCGGCCAAGGCTAAGGAGAAATTTTAAGGACTGTCATCAGTTTGTTTATACTTTTGTCAAAGCCAGTTTGTCTTTTAAGGGAGAAACTAACTGCCAAAGCCAGCGTATTGTGAAATTCCTCCCTCTTTCCTGATGTCATGAAATCCGATTTATTAAAGGTATTCTTTTTTCTTTTTTAATCCTCACCCAAGGATGCTTTTTCCATTTATCTTCTGGTAGAGTGGAAGGGAAGAAGGGAGGGAGAGAAAGAAAGAGAAACATCAATGTGAGAGAGACACATCAATTGGACACCTCCCACACAATCCCAACCAGAGCTGGGGACAGAACTGCAACCGAAGTATATGCCCTTGGCTGGAACGGAACCCGAGACTCTTCAGTCTGTGGGCTGACGCTCCAACCACTGAGGCAGGGCATTAAAGGTATTTTTTGTGTGGCAAACAGTAAGTAAAACAAAGTATTAAATTTGTACCTTACCCAAAATCATTTTTTATAAAATGCTTTTTTTATAAAATACTTAATGGCGTAGCATCTCCTTTTGCTCATTTGTCCTTAGAGCAGACTGTTGTAGGTGGAACCAGAGCCAACGAGGAAGTGGCAGGCAAACATCCTTTAAATATAAACAAATCAATTGTTCTTTATGCTCTTTGGATCTTCACTTGAAGGAGAGAGTTTTTTGTTTTTTTGTTTTGGTTTTTTTAGTATATCTGGGAAGCTTCCAGCCAATTAGATGAGATACAGCCATGAACCAAACCTTAGAAAGTTTGTTTCTGAATCTTAACCTGGAATTGAACTTGTTAGTAAGACAGATTACTTGCTCTGTGGGGCAGGCAACTAATGCTTTAGAAAAAGCTATATCTAAAACCTTTGACTGTGTGCTGACTTAACTTTGTACCGCAGGCCGACGCTCTAACCGCTGAGCCAAACTGGCCAGGGCTGACTTAACTTTGAAAGCCAGAAATGACTTATTTTCTTCACTTCTCCAGAACATAATGTTCACTCTTAAATCCCTATAGATTAGTACAGCCTTCCATGTGCCAAGCACTTAATAAATACATGTCTAATCAATGGATAACCATAAAGTGTCTTTTGTTTTTGTAAGAAAGTAGTTTTTTATGGTGTGTGGAATGAGACTAGAACTTGAAAGCATAATGTTCTGTTGGGACTCGTTAGTAGAGCAATAACTAGAGCTTCATCTCCTATACGTCCCTTTCCTTTCTGTCCCAGAACTGCACTGGGTAGTAAGACTTGCTTCAAGACAGATGAAGCATCCAGATTAGTTCTTATTATCCTCCCTGCTTAAAAGTATCTGAGCCCTGGTATTTTCATAATATTCTTGTCATTTTTTGTTTCTCTTTCAGTTTAAGAAAAGCCCTCCTAAGATCCCGTATAAGGCCATTGCGCTTGCTACAGTGCTGTTTTTGATTGGCACCTTTCTCATTATCATAGGCTCCCTCCTGCTGGCGGGCTATATCAGCAAAGGGGTAAGCTGAAGGGTTTGTGGGAATTTGCTGTGATATCTTTAAAATGTGAGCCAGGGCTCTGTTGTTTTGTATTCATATCTAGTACAGCAGATTACAGCAGAAAGAAGGAAAGGATTTTGTTTTGTTTTTTATAAAGATTTTGTTCTCTAATAACAAGACATGTGTTTCTTCCTTTGAGCAACCATGCACAAACTTCTCCTACAGTTCCTCTGAGGTGGTGGTGGCATGTTGGCAAATTTTCCCTCTGAGATGTTAGGTGCCTTTTCTATTCTCATAGTTTAGGACAGCAAAGCTAAGTCTGGCATCAGGGACTCCTGAATGATAAAGACTGTAACTGTAGGTTTTAATGGAATGCTGTTTTGTAGGTTTTTGGTGCTATAAACATACTAGTCTGTTTGGGGAGAGTGAGTGAGGTATGTGAAAGTCTGGGGCCACTGACCAAGCCAGGACTTCTGGCTCATGACAGAGCCTTCTTATATTGAGTTTGGTTGCTGTTCCTGTTGAGTGAAATGTGATACCTTAGAAACCTGAAATGTTTGGTGGTTCTTGGGCTGTATACAGACACTTAAACATAGCATCTAAATTGTTCTGAATTAATATTGATCATAATTTATGTTTGTTCTTCAACACATGCCAGGCGAAGGGATAATGGTCATATTGCTCTACAGAAGGAACATAGCCAAGAACTGTGGACATTATCATTGGACTTGGCACTAGTAGTACAGTCACAATAAAATGGCTGTACATGGGTTTTATGTAGGGTTTTTTTTTGTTTTTGTTTTTTTTTCAGTTAACCCTCACCTGAGGATATTTTTCCATTGACTTTTTTCTTTAATTTTTTTTTTTTATCCTCACCCGAGGATATTTTTCCATTTTTTGTACAGATAGAGTGGGAGGGAGAGAGAAGAAGGGAGAGAGAGAGAGAAACATCGACGTGAAGGGACACATCGAGTGGCTGCCACCCGCACGACCAACCAGGGGCAGGGTCAAACTGCAACCGAAGTACGTGCCCTTAGCGGGAACCGAACCCGGTCTCTCCGGACCGCAGGCCGACGCTCTAACCGCTGAGCCAAACTGGCCAGGGCTTTAATTTTTTTTTCTTTATTGATTTTAGAGAGAGAGAGGAAGTGAGAGGGAGAGAGAAGTAGAAACATCAATGAGAGACAACATTAATTGGCTGCCTCCTGCATGCCCCCCACTGGGGATCGGGCCCACAACCTGGGTGTGTGTTCTGACTGGGAATTGAATCGGTGACCTCCTGGTGCATGGGTCAACGTTCAACCACTGAGCCACACCAGCCGGACTCCACTGATTTTTAGACAGAATGGAAGGGAAGGACGGGGAGAAAGAGAGAGAAAAACATCGATGTGAGAGACAGACATTAATTGGTTGCCTCCTGCATGACCCAGAGGGGGCCAGGGATTGAACCTGCAACCCAGGTACATGCCCTTGATGGAAATCGAACCCACAATTCTTCCGTACTTGGGCGGATGCTCTAACCACAGAGTAAAACCGGCCAGGGCTGTATATGGGTTTTAAGAAATAAATCTAATTAGGTCCTTAGCTATTGAAAACTATTATATGACTACCAGGTGCTTACTTGGTGTGCAGTCTAAGCATGCACACCTAACTTGAGGACTGTGCCTTCAGTTAACTTTCATTGCAGCATGTAGTATAAATCCCAGGAGCATAGTTAGGAGTCTGTTAATCACAAAAAGTGAAAGTGAGATCCACATACAACAAATACCATTTTTTACCTTGTGTGGTTTATAAATAAGGATAAAGATGTTAATTAAAATCACTAATAGGTTTTGTTTTGTTTCTTTGTCTGGGTTTTTTTTTTTTTTCTTCCACTTTTTATTATAGACATTTCAAACAAAACAGAAGTAGATGGAATAATATAACAAGCCGCCATGTATCCACCACCCAGCATCAACAGTTACAAACATTTTGTTTCATCTATCCCCCTCAGCTTTTTTTCTTGTATATTAAAGAAATACCAGGTTTACATTTTGCTGGTAAATTCATAAGTGTGCATCTTCATTATGCATCTCTAACAGTTTTTGTTTATTTTTTGAAAAATTTAAAACAATTTTTTTTCTTTATTGATTTTAGAGAGAGAGGAAGGGAGAGGAAGAGAGAGATAGAAACATCAATGAGAGAGAACATCAGTTGGCCGCCTTCTACATGCCCTACACTGGGGATTGGGTCCACAACCTGGGCATGTGCCCTGACCGGGAATCGAACCGGTGACCTCTTGGTGCATGGGTTGACGCTCAACCACTGAGCCACAGCGGCCAGGTGAAAATATTTTTATTGATTAATTTAGATAGAGGAAGGGTGTCGGAGAGAGAGAAACATCAATGCTATATACATCGATCGGCTGCCTCCCGTTGAACCTGCAATCTGGGCATGTGCCCTGACTGGGAAACAAACCAGTGACCTTTCTGTACATGGGACAAGGCTCAACCAACTGAGCCACACTGGCCAGGGCTCTAACCGTTTTTAAATAAATCTAGGGATGCTGTCAATCCCATTTACCTTGTTCTATTCCTCATATCTCTTGCAAACTGTAAAACTTAAGGACTTATTTATTATTTTTTAAATTTTTATTTATTAACTTTAGTGGGCAGGAGAGAAAAAGAAAAATCAATTAGTTGTTTTACTTATTTATGTATTCATTGGTTGCTTCTTTTTTATCCTCACTCGACATTTTTCCATTTTTTGTTCAGACAGAGCAGGAGGGAGGGAGAGAGAGTGAGAGAGAGAGAGAGAGAGAGAGAGAGAGAGAAACATCGACGTGAAAGGGACACATCATCGAGTGGCTGCCACCCGCATGACCCAACCAGGGCCGGGAACAAACTGCAACCGAGGTATGTTCCCTTAGCGGGAACCGAACCCGGGTCTCTGTGGACCGCAGGCCGACGCTCTAACCGCTGAGCCAAACCGGCCAGGGCCATTGGTTGCTTCCTGTATATGCCCTGACCAGGGAATCAAACCTGCAACCTTGGCGTATTAGGATGATCTCTAGCCAAATGAACTACCAGGCCAGGGCCAGGGACTTATTTATATTGGGATTTAGATTAGTTTAGTTTAGTTTTAGAAAGAATATGATTCTCAAACTTCAATGTCCATCAGAATAACCTTGTAAACTTGTTAACAGTCTCCTTGCTCCTATGCCCAGAGATTCCAATTGTTTAGGTCTAGAATGGGGCATGAGAAGTTGCATTTCCAACAAGTTCCCAGGAAATGCTGGTAGTCCAAGGACCACATTTTGAGAACATTGCTATGGCATTCCCTTAGAAGGCACATAATGATTGTCCTAATTTTCCGTTGATATTAAGATTGATTCCTGGGTTCAAGTGCCTTCAGCCTAATTCATTTATTATAAACTTCTCCATCACCCTTTGCACTTATGAATCCAGGTTTTTCATTTTCTGGATTTATCACATGAAATTCCTTTATAAAGAACTTGTTCAAATTTGCTATTTGGTTACCCTGAAATACAATGTATATCTTGAAGGTAGGAAAAATCTTTGACTATTTCGCTATATTAACTTTTATAAGAATATACTAGCAAACTCAACAGATGACCAAAGAATTAATTAGTGTCATAATAAACTCATCCTTTTTTTTTTTTTTTATGTATTTTTGCTTTAATTAAGCAGTCTGTATTCTTTTTAACATATAAATTATCCCAAATTTGGTCAGTAGGAGCCCGTTCACTGACGTGGGTGGCCTTTGTGTTTTAAATCTGACGTGGGTGGCCTTTGATAGTTTTCTTGCATTCTGGTGCAGCAAGTTACACATTTTTTGCCCCCTGCCTTGTAAACAGTCATCTCTCTAAGGAGCCCTGATTTAGAGATCACAAACTGGGCATTAATGGTGCCTATTGCTATTGGTTTTCATTGTTTCTAGGCCTTTTCAGTGAGAAAATCAGGAAATAAGTATCTTTTAGAAAACAAGGGGAAATTATATATAGACATCATATAGATATAAAAATAGTTATTTCTTAGGCAAATTTAAGATTATGATTTGAGCTTAATTTTTTAAAATTTATTTTATATGAGCATATCCTAGATATATTTATATAATTACTTGGTTTAATCTTTATTATGCATATAATAGCTTCAAAATAACAGCAGTATTAATGCCAAATACAGTATAGGAAGGCTGAATACACTGGAAGTTTTCTTTGCAATTCTTTGAATCCTTAGGAAATATCTCATTAGGAATATATAGTTAAAATTCTCTTAAAGATAAAAGGAGAAAATGTAAAATAAGGTAACAGAAATAGCACCAAATATGTTCAATTGTGAGAGTTATAGACTATTCTTTTTTATTTTCAAATAGTTTACTTTTGGCCTGAAGGACCCCCTTCAAGTTCTCTTTCCTTGGATTTAAGCTCATGTTTATTGAGTCATTATGTTCCAGCTGGGGCCACTTACTTTACGTGCATTACCTCATTTAGCTTTCACTATAACATATGAGGCAAACAGTGCTTCTGTGTCTGTTTGTGAATGAAGCAGACAAAATTATATTGATTCGGTAACTCATCAGTGTACATTGTGTCAGTAGCCCTGTTTAGAGGAAATTTATGGATTGAGTTTAAACTTTGGGTGAAGGAAATCTTCCTAAACTTAAAAACAATGGGAAAAATTACAAAGGAAAAGGAGGATAAGCTTAACTAGAAAACATTTAAAACCATGTGAAAAACCAAGACAGACTGAGCGGTTTTGTAAAGGTGAATCCATTTAGCACATTTATTGAGCTTCTGTTATGTGTTGGGCACAGCCTGGGGAAACAGGGGCGGGTGGAAAAAGTCCCCGTCTTCATGGAATTCCCCCCCAAATTGAAGCCCTACTCATAGAGACTGACCTCATTCCTCCCCCTTTGACCTATGAATCATGCTCACGGAAATATACACTAAGGAAACAATCTGAAAGGCCAAGAAAAACACTGAAGTTTCATATGGTATTCTGTACAGTCACAAAAAAGGAGAGACAACTAAAATATCCAACAGTTTGGGGTAGTGGGGAAGGGCTCAGTAAAAATTATGGTACGTCCATTACAGTGGAAGGCTGTGCACCATTAGTTGACATACTAGTTTTGGCTTGGCACTGTGTGAACAGAAGCCATGTGACCTGTGGTGCTTCTGCAACCGCTACAGGAGGTATCTGCGACAAGAAGCTCATCATCCTGGACCACTATTGTGAGGCCAGCGAGTAGGACATCAAATACATCAGGAACCACATTATCCAGTTTAACCCAGGACCAAACAAGTACTTTTCCTGGCGCCTCTCTATTGGGAGCTGCTACTAGAAACTGAGTAGTACAAGAATGGAGACCTGTCCTTCAAATATGTGAAGACCTTCAACATGGACGAGTGTGTAGGTCTTCCTCGAGACCACCCAGAGAGTTAGCACTCCTTTATGTGGACCAGCTTCTTCAAGCTTACTGACGTGCACCCAGAAAAATCCCATATTCTGGATGGGAATACAGCTGACCTACAGGCTGAGAAGAGAAGATGAAGGCTACAGGTGGGATTGAGCTGTTGGTTGGAAGCGTCACCCTGACGGGCATGTTGCCATCAATGAACTAGGCTCCAGTCTGGTGTCCAGGAACTGTACGAAGACGCTGGACATGGACACCATCCTGGCCAATGCTGAGTTCTCTGATGGAGATCTCACCGAGGTGCCACCATGGCCCTGACAGGGCGTGGGCACTGTCATGGATGCTAAAGAGGTGAAGATTCTCATCACAGGTGCTCACAAGACAGTTGCTCTATACAGAGCCATCAAGGAAGGAGTGAACTGTATGTGAGCAGTGTCTGCCTCCAGCAGTGTCCCTGCACTGTGTTTGTGTGCAATGAGGATGCTCCATGGAGCTGAAATTGAAGACCGTCAAGTATTTCAAAGGTTTAATGCTTGTTCATTACAAGTTGTTGGACTCCTTGTACAGTATCAAAGAGAAAGAAACAGAAAAGCCAGTTTTCTAAGAAACCATACAGGGATTAGCCTGTGCTAATCCTAATGTCAGGTACCTCATTGGGACAGGCAGGTCTTTCTGGAAATTGTCATTAATAGGACAGAATTATATTTCTTTAATCCAGAATGGCTACTCCAGATAAATGGGTGAACTTAACTGTTCTTGGCTCTATAGCGTGGAGCCTAGTCATGGAGTTTAGCTACAGGAGAAATGACTTGTTTGTAACTTACTCTTAATCAGAGCCCTGGTAGCTCAGTTAGAGTGTTGTTCCAATACACCAAAGTTGTGGGTTTGATCCCTGGTCAGGGCACATAAAAGAAGCAACCAGTGAATGCATAAATAAGTGTAACAACAAACCTCTCTCTCTCTCTCTCTCTCTCTCTCTTTTTCTCTGTCTCTCTTCCCTCTACCTCCCTCCCTTCCTCTCTCTCTCTCTATTTTTCAGATCAGTTTGAAAACATGAGAAAACCAAAACTTATTTTAATCAAGAAAAAAGTCACTTTATGACCTGGACAGCGCAGCTTAGTGGTTAGAACGTCAGCCCTCGCACTGAAGGGTCATAGGTATGATTCCTGGTCAAGAGCATGTACCAGGGTTGCAGGTTTCATCCCCGGCCCCAGTTGGGGTGTGTGCAGAAGGCAACAAATTGATGCGTCTCTCTCACATTCATGTTTCTTGATCTCTCTCTCTCTCTCCCCCTCCCCGGGTGAGGATAAACAGCAACAAAAATAATTCCGTAATTTTGATGTCTACTCCACACAGATTAGGGATTTTTAGCTTTTTTGACGTTTTTCACATGTACAACACATTCCTTCCTGTCAGGAATTGCTATTATTGTGTGCAGATTCTCATTTGGGGAAATTGGGACTTGTATGGACAAAACCTCTGGAGAGGCTTGAGAGCCCCTCTTGAACAGGCCTGCCACTTATTTGAGAATCATTGTTCCAGATTAAGGAACAAACTCTCAGTATCTAAAATCAGCAGAAGGAGGCTGTCTCTCTGGTCAGTAACAAATGCCATGGAAAGAAAACTGCCCCTTTCCTCGTTTTGTTTTTTGTTTTCCTTTTCTCTCAGTTGGCCTTTCCATGAACTCTGAGGACTCCTTGGGGGAGGATTGGGAGGGTAGGGCTAAAGAGAAGCTTTGTTGATAAACTCAGAGCCTCAGGGTGCGCAACATTGTCAAGCTCTTCTCTCCAGGGACCCTCCAGCACCGGGAGGAAGGTGGAAATCCTTTTTCCCACCAGAACCCTGTGTTTTTCTTCCAAGGCCTCACTGTGGCTCCCACCTTTTATACATTTATTAATAAGTAGAAGGTCCACTGAGGCAGCAGACACTGACATGATTTCAATGAGCTGTTCAGCTAAAGTGATGGGGGCTAGGATAAGCCACTCAATTATGAGCTTAGTCACAACATGAGTGACATGTTCTCCTGCTTCCCTACGAGCTGAGTCCAAGACAACATACAGATCTTCTAAACTGCCCGTTATCCTTTGCCCCTGTTCACAAGATGAGTCTGTTGCTCTGCCTTCCTGTATTCTCTTAAGTCCCCTTCATCCTCCCTATCTTTGTGCCTGTTTCAAGCTACTGCTGCCTCTATTTCTGGTGAAGATCTTTCAGAGCCTGGCTCAGGCTTCTAATTGCTGTTTGGTACCAGCATTTTTTATTTATTATTCTTATTATTTTTAGTTTTTATATGTGATCATGTATCATTCTGTTTTAAGCTGATAGAACAGTGGACTTGTTTACAATGTGATATTTTCTATTAAATCCAATGTATTTTTTAAAACTATTATTAGTTTTAGGCATATAACATAATTATTCAATATTTGTCTACATTGTGAAAGATCATAATAAGTCTAATTAACATCCATCACTACACATAGTTATACAATCTTGTGTGTGATGAGAACTTTTATGATCTACTGTCTCATCAACTTTCAGATATACAGTACAGCATTCTTTTTTTTTTTTTTTTTTGCTTTTGTTAATCCTCACCCAAGGATATTTTTTCCATTGATTTTAGAGAGAGTGGAGGGGGTGGGGGAGAGAGAGAAACATCAATGTGAGAGAGACACATAGATTGATCACCTCCTGCATGTGCCCCAATTGGGGCTGGGGATCCAAACTGCAATTTAGGTACATGCCCTTGACCTGGAATTGAACTCACAGGCCTTTGGTGCGCAGGCCGATGCTCCACACTGGCCACTAACCAACACTGGCCAGGGCCAGTACAGCATTCTAACTGTAGTCACCATGCTCTACGTTACATCCTCAGGACTTCTTATTTTGCACCTTTGACCACTTCACCCATTTCTCCCACCTCCCCACCTCACAATGAAGGATTTTTAGTAATATTTTGGCAGTATCTTGTTATAAGAGACAAAAACAAAGCACAGGGTGTGTTCACAACTAAAAACTTTAAAGAAAGAAATAAGCCAAAATATCTGGATGAACACATAATTTATTTTCTGTATTTTTAGTACTTTACAGTTTTTCTACACCTGATAATTAGGAGAAAGAGAGATGTAAACCTTTGCCTCGGTAGTGTACTACGCAAAGAAAATAATCTGAAAAGCATAAGATCCTGATCTATGGATTGGATCCATGTGTTATTTTATTTTAAAATTTATAACTTCTGTGGTACTAATGCCTTTGCCTCCTTCTGCCACCAGGGGGCAGACCGGGCCGTTCCCGTCCTGATCATTGGCATCCTGGTGTTCCTGCCAGGATTTTACCATCTGCGCATCGCCTACTATGCATCCAAAGGCTACCGGGGTTACTCCTACGATGACATTCCAGACTTTGATGACTAGCACCCACCTCAGCCCTGAAGAGCAGAGTCAGATGGGACTGAGCTCAGTTTTAAGATACTGAGCAGAAACAATGGCTAAGGGCTAAGGAATTCTGCAGTTTGCAGATGTTTAACAAAACAATGGCCAGGTTTCATGGGTCCATCCTAAAGATGTTACCTGGGTTTACAATTAGCTAATTAGGTACATTCTGTATTTCATCTCCTGGCCCTGACAACAAGCTGACAAGTTTTTCCACATGAACCTATCATAAAGAATAGCAATGTTAATTGGAAAAAGTGGGAGGTTATTCTGTAGTGGGAAATGTTACTGCCAACACCCTTTTCAGAGTTGAGCATTTCTTTTAACTAGACTTTATTGTCAGCTTGTGACAAATGGAAGAACGCAGTATGTCAAATTTCTTATACCAAGTAATTTATTTTGGAAATACCTAAGTATCTTATCCCCTATGCCCTGACTTTATGTTCTAATAGAAGACCTTGGTAAAATCAAATGTTAATGTGGATGCATCTGTAATATTTTTTACTTGCTCTCTTATTAAGAACAATCAGGAATTTTAAACCTCAGAGCAAATTTTCAAAATGTACACTTTCTCTGTTCACCAATCCTTGGCCAGCTCTGATCTGGTTCACTATTAGGTTGGGCACCATATATTTTGGGTAATTCTACCCTTTATAGATTAAGATGTTCTCTAAGTCATGCCTTTAAGGACTAGACTTTTGGCTGTTTTCTAAGGAAAATATATATATAAATAATTATTGAGAGTTTATAACCCCATTGTTAGCACCTTGTATTATGATGTCATTCTGCTGAAGATCAAAAGATTTGGACTGAATCCCTAAGGGATTAGACTGCCTTAGTTGGATTTTGTTTCTTAGCTTGCAAAAAGTGGCTTCTGTCCAAACGAAATTAAAATGTCAAAATCTAAATCCTATACTTAAATGAGTTAACTTTAAACATATTTCAGAAAACATATTAATGATTATATAATATCTTAGATTCCAATACACAGGACTGCTTTCATTTTTTTTCCCTTTTGTTGATTTTAGAGAGAGAGGAAGGGAGAGGGAGAGAGAGATAGAAACATTGATGAGGTGAGATGAGAGAGAACATCAATTGGCCGCCTCTTGCATGCCCCCCACTGGGGATCAGCCCACAAACTGGACATGTGTCCTGACTGGGAATCGAACCAGCAACCTCTTGGTGCATGGATCAATGCTCAACCACTGAGCCACACCGGCTGGACAGGACTGCTTTCATTTTTAGATAATCGGCATTATAGGTCAGACTGCTTTTCAGTTGTTTTTTTACTCTGAGGTTGTGGATTGGACTGTTAGCAGCCTGGAAGTGCTATTAGCTGGGATTTGGCAGGCTGTGGGTAGAGCAGGTTTACAGGGGAAGATGAGTTCAACTTTGGGTGTGTTAAGTTTTGGATGCCTGCTCAGTATCCAAGTGGGGCTGTTGATGAGGCAATTGCGGTCCACAGGTCTGGAGTTCAGGAAGGGAGTGGGAGTCTAGGCTGGTGGTGAAATTTGGGAGTCAGTGTTGGGACAATATATCCAAGAACCATGGGACTGGATGAGATCACCCACAGAGTGGGTGCACATGGGAAAAAACACTGGGACTTAGGAAATGAGGGACAGAGGGTGACCTGAAGCAACCTCCAAGGTTAGGGACATTTGTTAATGGGAGGGTAGGCTGGGGACTCCAGTAGTCTAAATAAAGTTCTTGGGCCTTGGCAGAGATGTGAGGAAATATATAAAGCTTTATCCTGGCCAGTGTTTGCAAAGCAAAGCTTAGACCAGAAAGTCCTTTTTATAAGGGTAATGATGCTACTGGTAAGGGGTTGGGGAATGGAACAGAAGGATATGAAGTGAAAAGCATTTGGCTGGAGTGAGTAAATATTTGCTCCCTAAGTCCTTTCCCAAGGTTGTCTAATTAAGTTTTTTGTATATCCTTCCACCCTTCCAGAAATGTTTCCAGTGTGTTTGTGTATCCTTTAAAAAAAAACAAAAAAACTTGGTTTCCCATTGTATAGTGTTTTTTTTCACCGTTTTTTTTTTTTTATCCTCACCCTAGGATGCCCTGGCTGGTTTGGCTCAGCAGTTAGAGCGTCGGCCCACGGACCAGAGAGTCCCAGGTTCGGTTCCCACTAAGGGCACGTACCTCGGTTGCAGTTTGTACCTGGCCCCAGTTGAGGTCATGTGGGTGGCAACCAGTCGATGTGTCTCTCTCTCTCTTCCTCCCTCTCTCCCTCCCACTCTATCTGAAGATAAATGCAAAAGTGTCCTCAGGTGAGGATAAAAAAAAAATATCCTCACCCTGGGACATTTTTGCATTTATCTTCAAGTGGGGTGGGAGGGAGAGAGAGAGAGAAACATCAATGTGAGAGAGACACATCGACTGGTTGCCACCTACACAACCTCAACTGGGGCCGGGGACAAACTGCAACCGAGGTACGTGCCCTTAGCGGGAACCGAACCTGGGACTCTGGTCCATGGGCCGATGCTCTAACCTCTGAGCCAAAATGGCCAGGGCCAATTGTATAGTTTTATAATTTCTTTCTTCCTGCCTATTCTATTTTGTATATCTTTCCATGTCCACAGAGATCAGTCACATTTTTAAAATGTAAGTTATAAGTATAGTTTTTTATGTTGTGCATGTAGTCATAGGATCCTAAGAGCAGAGACCATAAAAGTCAGAATCCTAGAGCAGGAATTCCCTCTTGGATGTCCCCTGAGTAATGGCCCTTGCTGTTCTTTTTGAATGTCCAGGTGCATAATTTCATTCCATTTGGGATTGTTATAGGAGTATTGTTAAGCCAAAGTCAGAATCCCTATAACTATGCATTGACAGCAGTTGTATATTCTGGTGCTTTATAGAAAACACCTAAACTTCCATAATAATAGGGAATGTTTCTTAAACCCTTTGCCCAATGTTGTGTCAGTCACTTTCATTAGGTATTCTATTTCATTTTAGCCCTTGCAAAAATCCTGAGTTAGGGAAGGTTCTTAGGTGATAGGTTAGATATTTGCAAGGCAAATTTAGGAAGAGCCCTGGCAGGTTTGGCTCAGCAGTTAGAGCGTTGGCCTGCGGTCCAGAGAGACCCGGGTTCGGTTCTGCTAAGGTGCACGTGCGTGCCTCGGTTGCGGTTTGTCCCCGGCCCTGGTTGGGTTGTGTGGGTGGCAGCCACTCGATGTGTCCCTTTCACATCGATGTCTCTCTCTCCCTCTCTATCTGAACAAAAAATGGAAAAATGTCCTTGGGTGAGGATAAAAAAAAAATTTAGGAAGAGCCTGAATTTACTCTTACCAGGTATGAAAGCCACATGGCTCTAGGGGCTGGACAAGTAATGAAGTGGGAGGGGGGAATATGGACTATAGTAGTATGGATGAACATCAATCATCAAATGTATTTTTTACCTAAAAGTGGCTTTCTCCCCCTCCCTTCCACTCCCAGCCTTTCTGGTATTGGCCAGACCACGTGCCCTAGCCTCATGGGGTTTTCTTATTTGCCACAACTAGTCCACCTCTCAAGTCTAAAAGGCCTCCCCAGTTGCATCAGCTGCTCTACATATGATGGCGATTGCAGACCCAATGCGTCTGGATGAGCTTGTCTGGATGAGCTTCGCCTGGTCAGTGTGCCAGGAGCACGTGGACTGCTTCCTTTCTGCCAGGAATTGTCAGGTGCTGAAGGCACAACAGGGAAAGATAGGGCTTGGTTAGTGAAGAGCAGAGTTTGCAAACTGGTGGCCACAGATCTTGCCCTGCAGTTTGTTCTTAAAAATGGAAAGGTACACATGATCTTGATTTTTTTTTTTTTTTTTTTGGCATGTGCTCCTAGCGGGAACCGAACCCGAGACTCTCGGGTCCACAGGCCAACGCTCCAACTGCTGAGCCAAACCGGCCAGGACACATGATCTTGATTTTGGGCTTTTCTTTGGTACTGAGAGGGTGCAACCAATGAACAAGAGAGTAAAGCACCTTTAGCTGAGCAGAATTCTCCAGTTCATAGCAGTTGTCACCACTGCTTAGTTACTTTTATTCCCAACCTGGTCATTTTCTTCATTAAGGTCAGAGTGTCTGACAGGCCCACGAAGGCTAGCATAGCGCTTGTGGTCATTTATATTTAGTGAATGAAGAACAAAGCCAAGAGTGCATTTCCATCCCAGGACACTTCCTTTGGGCTGTGGACAGATGGGCTGGCACCACGTGATTCAGATAAAGCTTTATCCTGGCCAGTGTTTGCAAAGCAAAGCTCAGACCAGAAAGTGATGCTACCCACCGAGTCAAGCCCAGGAGCCCAGTTCACAACCCTCTGGAAGTCCCCTCCTCAGAAGTCATGCAGTATCCCTGCTAGCTGGCATAGAAGAACCTCCTGTCAGTGGTGTGATGAGGGAAGCTGGTAGAGGGACAATCATAGCCTGACTTTCTGCTGACCTTCAGAAGGGCAAACCAAATCAAGGTACCTTAGTTGCCTTGCTCTGTCATCTAAATTCCTGTGCTGTGGCTTCTGTCCTAGATTTAGCCCCACAGACTCCTGGCCTCACAGATGTTTGGTCCACTCATGGTTTAGTGCCAGGCTGGGAGGGCACAGCAAGCTACAAGGTATTAGGCAGATTACCCCTGGAGCCTCAGTTTCCTTATCTTGTAAAGTGGGATAAACCCAGTTCCTACCTCATAGGGTAATTGTGAGGATTAAATAAAACAATGTCGGCCCTGGTTGGATAGCTCAGTTGGTTAGAGAGCGATCCCAAAACACCTGATCAGGGATACAAGCATCAACCAATGAAAGGGTACATAAGTGGAACAACAAATCAGGGTCTCTCCCCCACCCCTCCCTTCTGCTCTGAAATCCATCAATAAAAATTGTTTTAAGTGTGGGAGGGTGCTTTACACAGAGCGTGGCCCATAGTAAGCATCAGTAAATGGGAGCTGTTCTGAGAAAGTGAAGGTCACAATTTGGGGTGAAGCTGAGGAAGAGAGAAGAGCCCATCAGATATTCCCGAGGCCAACCTGAAGAACCTGCTGCTCCATGCGAAACTACGCCAGAGCTAAGGGCCTGCGCCAGCCTGGCAGTCAGCCCCAGCCAAGGCAGGGCTCCCTTCCCTGACGGAACTGCCTGCCGCAAGGTGAGCCTGCAGCAGCTGGGCCTGTGTGCTCCAGGTCTTCTCCAGAAAAAGTGGGCCACGGAGGCCCCGGCCCAGGAGGCCCAGCAGGGAAGGCCATGCAGACAAGGTGATGCAGCTGGAGCTCCATCAGACCAGCTCTCCCTGGACCTGTACTTCCCTCTGTGTTCTCCCCATGGTTCCCATTTTTACCTCTTCTCGTTCTGCACTTCCTGTCCTCAGTCTTGCCCCTTTGCTTTTCAAAGTGTGGTCTGTGGATCAGCAGCATCAACATCACCTGGGAGCTTTTTAAAAACACAGAACCTGCCCTGGCCGGTTTGGCTCAGCAGTTGGAGCATCCGCCTGCGGTCCAGAGAGTCCTGGGTTCAGTTCCCACCAAGAGCACGTACCTTGCCCTGGCCGGTTTGGCTCAGCGGTTAGAGTGTCGGCCTGCGGTCTGGAGAGACCCGGGTTCAGTTCCCACTAAGGGCACATACCTCAGCTGCAGTTTGTCCCCGGCCCTGCTTGGGTCGTGTGGGTGGCAGCCACTCGATGTGTCCCTTTCACATCGATGTTTCTCTCTCTCTCTCTCTCTCTTCCTCCCTCCCATTCTATCTGAACAAAAAAAAGGAAAAATGTCCTCGGGTGAGGATAAAAAAAAAAAAAAAAGAGCACGTACCTTGCTTGCAGTTTGTCCCCGGCCCTGGTTGGGTCATGCGGGTGGCAGCCACTCGATGTGTCCTTTTCACGTCGATGTTTCTCTCTCTCTCTCTCCTCCCACTCTATCTAAACAAACAAAAAAAACACACACACAGAACCTTGGGCTGGCCCCAACCCTGCTAAATCAGAACCTGCATTTGAACAAGACCTCCAGGAGGGGGTCTGTTGCGTGTCAGTGTCTGAGAAGCACTGTTCTGGGGTACCCTGCACCTCCTAGTCCATTTTCTCACTTTGAGACTGGACCTCCTGGCAGTGTCAGTGGCTGGGGGTGGGAGACACCCAGAAGGGA